CCCCACCCCCCTGGTCTCTCCAGGCTCCCACGGAGAGACCCCAGCAGGGCCCCCTAGGACCCGGGCAGGGCCTCTACCCCCCCAGGACTCTGGGACCTGGTCTGGCCCCACGGCCGGCGGGCGCAGCTGTCCTTCTGCACCTCGGTGCAGGAGGCACTGCGGAACCTTCCAGTTAAAGCTGTTTTAATGACTCCTCGTCCCCTGCCCCCCTGGTCTCCAGGCCTAGGGAGGACACGGCCAGTGAGGACACGGCCTGAGCCCTCGTCCACCCTGGGGGCGCACTTGAATTTGGGCTCTGGGCACAGCACTTTCGAGGGGAGGTGGTGTAATCCCTTTAGTGACAATTAAAAGGAAGGATTTGCTGCAGGTCATCGGGGCATCTGGAGGCCTGCTGGCCCCTCTCGTCTCCCCACAGTAATCCTGTTATCTCTGTCCTCCGCCCTCTCTTCATTGCTCTGAAGCCTTATCAGGGAGGAGGAAAAACAATCAGGAGCTGCCAGACGGCTATCTCTGGGCTATCTCTGGCCGCAGGAGGGCTCCGGCCCACCGTACCTGGCAGCCTGCCGGGGTCCTTGGGGAGGAGGCCCTGCCCGGGTCCTGGGGGGCCCTGCTGGGGTCTCTCCATGGGAGCCTGGAGGAGGTGCTGGCAGCAGTCGGGCTTCCTGGGTCCCGCGTCCTGCCGGAGGTGCCCACGGGCTCAGCTCACTGAGGGGAGGCGGGAGCCTTGCTAATGGCCAGCTCTGCTGGCAGAGCCCCCGAGGGCCGCCGAGGCCACCCCCAGTTTCCACACGGGGAGCTGAAGCCCCAGAAGAGAGCTGGGCCGGTGTCCACGTCCGGAGGGGCAGGAAGGGACCCGCAGGCCAGGGCTGGGAGGCGGCGTCTGCCGGGGTCTCAGCGCACTTTGTAAATGACAGTTTATTGGGAACACACCAAGGATTCACAGGGGGACAGACCGCCCTGGGGGAGCTGTCCAGCCAGACGCAGTGGAGACTAGCCCAGAGGTGGGCTTCAGGACACTGCCTCAAGAGGGAGGGGACTCGCTGCTGGAGGCCTTTGGCTCTGGGCTGCCCCACCCACGGTCCCCTCAGCTGGAGGGAGGTGGGCCCCGCTCCCTCCTGGAGAGGCCCCCAGGGCCAGGCCACCTGGCTGAGGCTTCCTGCCCCGCCCGGGTGTCTGGGGAGGCCGGGTCAGCCGGGCAGAGGACTCTGCGGGCCTGTTTCCCGACCAGAGTCTGCAGGCCGTGCTCCCGCAGCCGGAGCGGAGGGGTCGTCTTCCAGACCATTTCACAGGCTGTTGACAGAGCAAGCGTGAGGCCGGAGGGCGTCTTCTTTGGGGGACACAGCAGGGACAGGCCGCTGCTCAGAGGTGCACGGGGAAGCGTGGACAGTGGCTGTGTGAGTCAGCACCGGCCCTCAGGCCCTGCGGCGCCCAGCCCAGCACCCAGCCCAGGCAGCCGGTGCCATGCACACCCATGGCCAGGAGCCCCAGGGGCCAGGCCCACCCCACTGCAGGGAGAGCCCAGCAGCCGCGCAGGTCCTCACCGCGCCCAGGCCTGCAGATGGGACCGGGCAGGGTGCTCAGCCCCGGCAGCCAGGAGAGCCTGAGCCAGGCGTCAGCTCCCTGTCTAGGAGCAGCCCCCACGCGTGCACAGACGCATGCACACGCGCACACACGTGCACACGCATGCAGACTCACTCTTCCAGGCGTCACTTCTGGTCGAGCTGCTTTGAGTCACAGCCACTTGCTGCCCGCGGCCCCGGCCCAGAGCGGACGCGGGTCTCGGAGACAGGCCTGCAGGTCGGGTTTGCTGCCCCGGACACACGAGCCGCTCCTTTTATTCCATTACATTGTTGCCGACGCACGTGATCGGCACACGCCATTATATCCGCTCCGGAGCGCAGGTCCCAGCGTCACGAGCTGACATTTGGGTTTGGCTTTAATTTGGTGACCTGGCGCAGCGGCCGTCCCTGCCTGGCCCAAGCGTCCGCGGCTCAACCCCCCTCCAAGTCCTCCCGGCCCGCCGCACCCCAGCACCGCACTCCAGGCGCCCCAGCACCGCTTCCCGCGCATGCCCTTCCGCCCCACCTGCCGCGGGGGCCCAGCTGGGAGCTGCCTGCGCTCTGCCCCCTGCTCTGCCCCCTGCTCTGCCCCCGGAGTGGACAGAGACGCCGCCTGGGGCTTCCGTGCCACCCGCACTCACCGCAGGCAGCGGCCCCGGGCAGGCAGGGGTGGCAACGATCACGATGACCGGTCGATGACCGGTCGGGTCTCCTTGGCGCTCCGCCGTGTGGCTCTAAGAAGCCTCCAAACTCAGCCTCTAGGCCCCAAGTGGCCTTGGGCAGACCACGCCTCTCTCTGGCCTCAGACGCCCCCATTCGAGTGGCGGGAGCAGACGGGCGATTCCCGGCATTTCTCCAGCCTCAGAGTCAGGGCGTTGCGGAGACTAGAAGCAGCTCCCAGGCTGACCTCTGAGCACACGGCCCCAGCGACACTGAGCTTCGAAGGAGCCGCTCAGGACGCGACCTTGAAGAGCGAGGCAAGGCCCTGCCGTCCGCTCAGAGCCACCCAGCTGAGGCCACCAGGCGCCGCCCTCGGCAGCAGATTGCGGTCCAGGGAGAGGCTGTCCAGGCTGGGGCAGGCTCCCTCCACACACCCCCAAGTGGCTCCACCAGTCTGGGCGCCCATCCCACACACTGGACAGCCGGGCGAGGGCTGGACATGCGGCCCCGGCCCCATGACCACGATGGCGGAGGGCCTGCAGCCTGCCCCAGGTGGTGGGGGGGCACCGGACAGTTTGGGCAGAGACGGGTTGTCCCTGCCCAGAGGCAGGCCCCAGGCCAAAGGGGCGGCCGCTCAGCCCAGGATGGCCAGCTGCGGGGAGTCTGCACCCCCACTGCCCCGTTCTGGAGCCAGTGGTGCAGGCGGGTGCAGGCAGGTGCACCTCCTGGCCCCCAGGAAGTCCCTCCCACCCAGCCCTGCGGGGAGTGTGTGCGGGAGGGAAGCGGGAGGGAAGCTGGACGGCACTTAGCGGCAGGATCAGAACTGTGGGCTCTCTGGGAGGATGAAGGCGTCTGGCCCAGAGGCAGGCGCTTTCTTCTTCAAAGCCGCCATCAAAGCCCCGGGAGAGGATGAAAGCAGCTCTGAATAGGTGTTAACAGCCTCCCCTGGGGAAGCAGGACAAGCCCTCCCTGGTGTCCACACGCAGCCCTCTCTGGCAGCCGCAGGCCCCAGAGGTCAGGGCTGGCCTGGCTGAGCCCTCTGCAGGCAGGCAGGGCCGTGGCCAGCCTTAATTTGCTGACAGCTCAGCGGGTGGCCCTGGATGTCAGGGCATCAAAGCGCCGCTCAGGGACGACGCGTCCACTGTCAGGCCCTCACGTCCCCTAGAGGCTCCGCTGACTCTGTGTCCAGGGCAGGGGTACGGGGACCCCATCCTGTGCGGTGTGGACCCCGGGGAACGGGTACAAGGTCTCCCAAACCCGACTCACCCCTGAGGGCCCAGCCGTCTCCGGAGGCTGCCCAGGGCAGTGGCCTGTGGGCCTGGGATGGGGGACGTGCTTGCGGGGACACGAGGCAGGTCCCAGGCCTGGACTCATGGCCCCCACCCCGCGTTTCCAGCAGCTGCCTGGGTCACCTCCTGCCGGGAGGCTCTGGGCTCAGTTCTAAGATACTCCAGGGAGCTGGGCGACCCCCACACCTTTATGAGAATTAGAACCTGACACTGCATCTGCCCCTCACCCCAGTCCAGCGGACAGGAGAGGCTGCGGGGGGGAGCCCCACAGGTCCTGGAGCCCCAGGCCACCTGCCCCCTCATCCTGACCAGAGGGCCGCCCGGCCGAGAGGTCACTGCTGCCTCCAAGACCTCTCCCCGGCCCACTCCTGGCCTTGCTCGTGCGGTCAGGATCCCATGGGGACATCTCTGCAGCTAGACAGAGACTCTCAGGCTTGCCTGGGATAAGCAGTTGACCACTTTGCCGCATATGGCAACTAGGAGGACAGTGGGGTGACGACAAAGGAGAATCATCTGAGGGAGCGTTATAAGCAAAACCAAGAAAGCTGTGTGGTGTCGGGGCGAGTGCAGACTGGGCCACGAGCAGAGCAGAGCGAGGCCAGGCGCCAAGGGAAGGCGCGGCTGGCCCCAGGCGGGACGGAAGACCCGGCTGCACTTGCTCCGGTGGTGAGAGTCGCACCTGCCTCGCAGACAGCCAGGATGGGCTGAGATGCTCAAAGAGGTGACCAGGAAAATAAAATAAAACCATGAGCCTTATAGTAGAACAAAAGCTGGAGATTATCTCCCTCTGAATAAACAAGCTCTTTAAGAGAAAAAAAATCATAGAAATATACATTAGATTGCATAAAAATAGGAAACAGGTTTTGCTATAAAATTCAGACAAATGTGACAAAAATAAGTCCTAGCAATATGCAACACTTAGGATCCTCAATATATAAAAAGCTCTCGAAAACCAACAAGAAAACACAATAATAAGCCAAACTGTGCGTGCACGAGGGGCACCATCTGGTAACTGGAAGGCGAGTGAGAACGTACATGCCCTCCGCAGTGTGCAGCGCCTGCCGGGCCCCCGGGGAAGGGAGCCCTAGTTCCCTTCAAGGGCTGCTGCCGGGAGCATCCAGATGGGTCGTGACCACCCACTTCACAGAGGCCAGGACGAGGACCCAAAGGCGACACTCGGGGGGCCTCCTCCATGCCCCCAGAAGGCAGCCACCCCTCAGATCAGGGGCCAGCGACAGTGTCACCACAAGGGCCACCCCCATGCATCCCGAGGGGCAGCCGCATCGTGTCCAAGAGCACCAGCGGTCAGTGTCTGTGGCCTCCAGGAGTGGCTCATCTGAGTGGGGCCGCCCTTGCCCCAATTCACTGGTTTCTGCTCCACGCGCTCCCCCCCTGCTCAGTTCAGGCCGAGGGCAGCCTGCCCGGGGCCTTCGCCACTCACCGGCGGCTCCTGGCCTGCCCTCCGTGACCTCCCCTCCTGGCCACCACGCAGGGGACCTGCTGGAACGCAAGGCTGAAACGGCCGTGCCGAGGTCGGCCGCTGGACGCCCCAGGCTCCTCCAGGCAGCCCCGGGCAGGCCCCTGAAGACGCTTCCTGCAGAGCCTGCCCCATCCTCAGGCCTGGCCCGGGTAGACGGCAGCCACACTCAGACCATGAATGGGCCCTCCCGGGCAGCAGCCTCGCCCAAAAAGTGGGGTCCCCGTCCTGGCCATGGGCGCCAGGCTCGCTCGGGCCCTTGTCTGCCTGCGAGCGCCGGCTGAGCGGGCCTCAGCCCCATGACCGAGAGGCCGGAGTTTCTCCTACAGCTGCTCTGTGCACCCCAACATCCTGGAACCCCTGAAGGCCAGGCGCACGTTGGCACCACATGCACCAACCTCCTCCAAGCCTCCCACCTGGGCGGCTCCGGGGCAGAGGTCCTCAGAGGCCTGTCTGTGACCGGGAAGGTCTCCTCACGTCCGTGGTCTCCACGGCTGATTACAAAAGGAAAACAAACGAATTAACCTTTGGCAAACATCCCTCCCATCAATCACACACTCTGGTTTCATTAGCCACGCGGAGTCACGGCGGTGACGGTTCATCCCGCAGCTGCCTTACAGGGGGCGGCCGGTGGCTCCGCTCCTTAGCGGCGCCCGGTAGGATTCCGCCGCAGGCTCATCCCTGTTCATCATTAAGCTGCGATGGGCATCTGCAGATAACGCAGCCTCCTGGAGGGTGCCCGCCCCGGCCCCCCTGGGCACAGGCCGCCCGCACCAGGGGGCCTTTGAGAGCCGCTGCCTGTGGGAGACTCACCCTGGCCCACAGTCAGAGACCCCCAGGCCTCGCGGGCCTGGCTGCCGGGGAGGGAGATGCCAGGAACTGACCGGTCACCTCCCTCGCCTGCCCGCCAGGGGTTCTGTGTCGCTGCCGCCCCCACCCCCGGCTACCATCACCCCACCCCATATACATCCCGCCCGCCCTTGTCGCCTCACCGCCACTGCTCCCCCCGCTCCGTGCACCCAAAAAAACCATAGCAAAGACCCCCACTTGGGCTTCAAAACACTGACCAAGGGGCCGCCCCGGTGGCACAGTGGTTGAGCGCTGGGCTGGGAAGCTGCCCGCAGCCTCTGCAGTGCCAGTTCGCTCCCCGGCTGCTCCCCGGCCACCGGAGGAGGGTCCCGCATGGCGCGCAGACCTCTCCTGCCGCCCGCTGCTCCCCTCAGCAGTGTCCTTCGGTCCTTCTGCCTGCTCTGCTCCCCGCTCTGGCTCTGGTGGATTCTCTCACCCTCCCGCGCTTCTGACTGTGCCCAGTGCTTGCGTAAATAAATAAATAAATCTTTAAAAAAAAAAAAACAGAGAAAGAAAATAAAACACTGACCAAGGAGGACGCCAGCGCCTGCGTATGGAAGGCGTGACCCCAGCTCCCAGCGCCCCTCGATGGCAGCCTCGGCCCCCAGGTGCTCGGGAGCTGCGTTAGAAAACAATTAGAGCCGCACAAACTCAGAGACGTTCTGGGGAAATGTGTCTTTGGGAGCTGCAAGAACCGGCGCTGAAGCACCGACGCCTGCCCAGAGGCCACGGAGGACGCGGATCTGGGAACGCGGGCGAGCCAGCCCCCCACGGGGTGGCAAGAGAGGAACACGTGGTGTAGACGCTGGGGCTCAGGAAGGCCCCCCACCCGCCTCACCCCGGAGCCCAGCAGGGTCCCCGAGCGCAGGGGGGCGGCCCGGCCTCCGCCAGAACAGCCTCCCCATCAGCCGGGCGGTGGGACGCGCCGGGCAGGGCGTCCTGGCAGCCTGTCTCGGAGAGGCCGCTCATCCCAGGGGGCAGAGGGCCGGCACGGGGCCTTCAGACGCCTCGTCTACACCCACCACCGCCCCGGCACCCCGGCGCGGGGAGGAAGCCGCCGCGCGTGTTCAGGGCCGGGGCTGTGGCCCTCGTGCCGCACTCTCGCTCCCCAGTCTCAGGTGTTGCTTCTGCACCCAGCGGCCAAGCCCGCGACACGGGGGTGTCCCTTCTGCCTCCCAGCACCCCTCTGGGCCTCATGCTGGGCGGGTCCCCATGTTGCTGTATTATGGTGGGTCATGTTCGCTTCGACCTTAGCACTGTCACCCCCACTCAGAGGTGTGTGTGGGTGTGTCTGTGTGTGTGTGTCTGTGGGGGGGTGTCTGTGTGTGTCTGTGTGTGTGTGTCTGTGTGTGTCTGTGTGAGTGTGTCTGTGGATGTGGGGGGGGGGTCTGGGGAGGGGTGTCTGTGTGTGTGTGAGTGTGTCTGACTGGCATGAGCTACTCCGTAACCATAAGGGAGACCCGTCCCCGAGAGCTCGGAGGCCAGCCCTGGCGAGGAAAGGCCTCACTGCCCACGTTCTAGCAGAACTTGCCGAGCAGGTGCCGGCAGCGAGCGCGGACGTGACAGCCTGCAGCGTGTTACCACCGGCCTCCAGCTCCCCATCAAGGTCAGTTTTGTTCCCAGGGGACACCTTGCAATGTCTGGGGGACATTTTTGTTTGTCACGACCAGGAAGGATGTGACAGACTTCAGGGTGCGGCGCCACCCCAGTCAAACACGCTGTTCCGGGCAAGCCGCCCTGCACCCGCGCACCCACAGCGGTCCCGTCCCGCGTGCCCGGAAGCTCTCCCCGTGGGGCAGGCCGCGCTCCGCACCGGCCCCTGCCTGACCGGGAGCCTGTTCTGGCCCGAGTTTCGGGCGGACTCCGCACGCTGCTCCCGGGCTCCAGTTCCACGGAGCAGGCAGGCCCCGGGCGGCCGTGAGCTGGCTCGCCCCGTCCCGGGGACACACGGGCCTGGCCATGGAAGGCTGTTCTCACCCATGTGGCTGAAAACAGCCTCTAAGTTCTGCCCCATGTCTTCCTCCTATTCTTGGGAGGCAGGACCCAAAGGAAATAACTTGGGGGTGCAGAAGTCTCCCAGGAAGCAGGTGCAGGCACGGCGCCCGGGACGGCAGGCAGGGACGCAGAGCATGTGGCTCCCCGGGACGGCAGAACAGGACCGTCAGCCTCCTCTCCCGTGCCCAGCGTCTGCTGCGCCCAGAGACTTTGGGCGAGTCAGGCTTACTCCTGACGGTGTAAGCGAGGAAGCCACATGTGGAAGCCAAGGGACTTCACGGCGGTGCAGAGCTTCGGGCTCCCCGCACGTGGACCCAGCTCTTAGCATTCAGACCTGAGGCTCGCGGCGGAGAGCAGCCCTCCAAGTACCTGGAAATGCGATATTCAGACACTTAACATTAACGTACGTTCAATAAAGGCAGTCGAGAATAGAGTCTACCTAGACATCATCTTCATCAGACAGTGAAATTAAATTAGATTTCCCGATAACCAGCTTTACGAAGCCATTTGCATGGCGGGTGTGAGATTAGACGAGGAGCAATTCCGTAACGAAGCTGCCTGCAGAATTTCTGAGCGCGCTTGGCTCCCACCGCCTTCCGCGGCTTTTGGAATCAAGAAGTTGCTGCTTGATGCGGCCTTGGAGGTCACACGGTTTAAGGTGGATTCACGGCTAAGCCCTGGGCCCCCCGCCTGTGCCTCCTGCTCCAGGGTCAGGGCTTCCCCCACAGCCCCAACCCCATCTCCATGACTGGCCTCCTGCCCGCTCACACAGGCTCGAGCCAGTTCCAACCGGCTTAGTCAGCTCTAACCTGCTTGAACCACCTCAGACCAGCTCAGAATAGTTGGAAGGTGCTCACTGGCTCAAACCAGCTGCAAACAGCTCCAGAGGGCGCTGGACTGCTCTGCTCTGCGCCAGTCTCCACCAGCTCCAACCTGCTAAAACCAGTTCCAACAGGTCCAAATCCGCTCAGACCAGCTAAAAACAGCTCCAACCATCTCAAACCAGGTCAGACTGGCCATAACTGGCTTTAACCGGTTCTAACTGGCTCTGACCAGCGCCAACAGTCTCAAATGACTACAAACAGCTCTCCCAGGCCCGAGTCTGCACCATCTGGCTCCTATCAGCACAGATTGTCTCTAGACAGCGTGAACCTGCACAAACTGGTTCAAACCAGCTGGAACTGGTTATAACTGGCTCAAAACGAATCCAGCTGGCAAGAATGAGCTCAAACGTGCTAAAACCAGTCCCAATTGGTTCTAACCAACTAGCATTATTTCTGCCTGGCTCCAAGCAGCTCCCACCTCCCTTGACTGGCTGTAACCGACCAGAACCGGCTCAAGGCTCCAACTAGACCCAGCAGCTCTGAAAGTCTCAAATTGGCTCAGAACAGCTCAAACCAGCTCAACCCAGTTCTAACCAGCTGGAACTGGTTCCAACATACTCAAGCCAGCTAAAGCCGGCTGCAGCCTGCTCAAACTGACTCAAAGCAGCACAGACTTACTAAAACCAGTTGGAACCAGGTTGTACCAACTCCACCTGGTTCTGACTGGTTCAGACCAGCTAAAACTGGCTCCAACCATTTCTGACAGGCTTCAACCAGTTCTGACCAGCCTGGATGGGCTCCAGCCAGCCTGCACAGGTTCAAGCCAGCTCAGACCAGCTAAAACCAGCTCCAACCAGCTTTAACTGGCTTGATTGGCTATAACTGGCTCAAACCAGAGCTAACAGGCTCCAGCCATCTCTGAATAGGCCCAACCGGCTCTAAAGGGCTCTAACCTGCTCTGGTCTGTCCAGCCAGACTCTGACTCAGCGGCCTGGAGCTTCTCCGGCAGGCGAGGGGAGCCGCCCCACCGCCCCGGGCGCCCTCATGAGTATGGATGGCGGAGAGGCGCCCCGGCCCCCCTGGAGGGAGTGGACAGGGCTCCCGCACTCACCTCTGCGCTGGGGCCCAGTGGCCTGGAGTGGACGCGAGTGCCGAAGACCAGGCTCCTCCTTCCAGCGCTGGAGTCAGCAGAGGCGGCTGCTTGTTTGCCGGAGCCCGGCTGGATGCTGGGAGGGTTCCCGGCCACAGACCTGGAGGGCAGCTGTGCCTCCAAGGAGTCCATTAGGAGCCTCTTGACTGGGGGGGCTACTCAGCGGAGGACAATGTCATCTCAGGAGGTGCTGTTGCCTCTTAGGGGTGGCGCCCTTTCATCCTCCCAAGTGGGGAGCCAGGAGCCGCTCCTCGGAAAACCTGCTGCGAGGGCGAGTGGCCGTGTTGCCTCTCCTGCCGGACAGGAGCTGGTGGGGCCGCTCGGCTGCGAATTCCCAGGGCCGCTGAGGTTGGGAGCTGAGCCGGGGTGAAGGGAGGTGCCTCTCCTGGGGGACGGGGTCCCTGCAGACCCAGTGGGAAGCTGTGACTACTCTGGGGCTGTAGCTCCTGCCATTGTGCAGGGCTCGGAGCCGCCACCAGGGATCCGAGCTCTGTCCCTTTACGTCAGTGATGCAACATTCACCCCGCGAAGCAAAACTCACCCCGCGCGTGAGGGCTCGCAGTGAACGCCGCTCCCCCCCACACTCTGCCTCGCCCTGCACCCCGGCCTGGCCACAGGCCCTCCTCGCTCTGCTCCTCCTCGCGCTCCTCCCCACCACCCACGCCAGACCTGCAGGGCAGCCATGGCTCACACCATCCTGGCGGAGCCGGGGGGATGCTATCGCGGGATTCCGGCCGCCGCCCGAGCTCCGTCCAGATCGGCCGCGATCTGCAGATACAAGCAGCAGCTGCGCGCGGCGCCCAGCGGCTGTCCAGGGACAGACTCTGTCCAGTACAGAAAAATGGAGGCAGGGAGGGAAGGGAGCGCTCCCGGCACGCGGGACGGGCCGGGCACCGCGGGCCCAGCACACGGGCGCCTGTTCGGCCGCAGCTGCATCCCAGCGGGACAGAGGGTCGCGGCCGAGCCGCGCGTGAGCAGGCCCCGCACTCCCCTCTGCGAGGCGGGCCCACGAGGACCCTGCGCCAGGCGGGCTCAGGTCCTCTTCATAATAAAGGGCTTCAGGGAACAGCTGCCGGCCCCTCGGCCCCGAGTGCCGCAGGGAAGGTCCTCGGCGGGAGCCTGGCCCTGTCCTCGGCCACTCACGCCCGGGCCCGCTGCTGCCGCGGGGCAGCCACTGCTGATGGGGCAGCCGTGGCGGCCGGGACGAAGCTGAGGGCAAGGAGCCCAGCCCACGCCCGCCCCCGCCCGCCCCGTGCCGCCCCCTCCTCCTAGTCCTGGGGACGCGGGTTTGAGGTCCGGCCCTGGGGGCGGCGGCCGAGGAGAGGACGGCAAACCTCAGCCGTGTCTCCGTGCCCCAAGCGAGCGTCGAAGGTGTCAGAGAAGCCCTGTGTTTGCACCGGGGACGTGCACACCTGCCCACAGGTGCTCTCCTCGCGCCCCGTGCAGGTGCGGGGCTGGGGCGGCTGGGCCGCGGCCTTCCTCGCCCGTCTCCTCCCGCCCACTGGACGCAGGACGGCCGGCGCCGCGTGCTGCAGGGTCACGGCCGAGGCAGCGCCGGCAGAACAAAGCCCCAGCTGATTCCTTCCCCCAAAGCACATTACTCTGCGGCGGCAGCAGCTGGAGCCAAGCTACTCCCCAGACGCCGCACAGAGCGCGGCTATTTTTAGGCCGCATCGCACCCAGGAGGCCGCAGCCGCCCGGGGCCCTCCCCCCGCTGCGAGCCCCTGCAGACGCCGCCCCTGCCTGCATTCCCCTGGCTGCTCGCATCCCTGCAGCAACATGCCACTCCCTGAATCCCTTCCAAGTGCCTGGTGCACACTCGCGCCTCCCGAGAGCTGTTCTGACGGCGCCCAAGTCCAGCCCGCGCCAAACGGCAGCAGGAAACTGGAAAAAACCGCCTCCCCGCTCGCGCCCGCGGCCCCGCGTCCTGCATCTGGCGGCCGCGGCGGGCTTGACGGCGGCTTCGGGGGTCGCCGAGATGTTTGGCGTCAAGCAAACTCTTCACACCCAAAATAGCATTGACATGGGTGGGCGCAAACTCCTTCCCCGGTGCAGAAAAATTCCCGGGACTTTTGAGATGTTGGACTCAGGTGCGCCCTTCCTGGGGACAGGCTGCCCGGGCGGAAGGACGCGCCCGCTCACCCCCCGGCGCCTCGGCCACCCTCGCCACCACCTCCCTCCCACCCCGCCGCGACTCGTCGCCACCCGCCCCGCAGCCCCGAGCGCGCGGCTGTCCCAGCTCACACGACCTTCGTCACTCTACGCCCTGTGCTTTCAAATGAAGCTTATGAAGTGAGGGTGACCTTCCCCCCCACCCACCCCCGACGAAGTCGCCGTAACCCGCATGACTGGACACAGCCCTGGACTCCCCGACGCCGTCCATCACCGATGACACGGGCCATCACTCCATGTGCTAAATCACCTGAAGCCACGGCCACCGCAAGGACGATGGGGCTCCGCAGCCAGCTGCTGGCCCTGGGGTGGCCGAGGAGGTCACTCCCGCGTGAGCTCCCCCAGCCCGGCCCGCACCTTCTTCCTGCCGCGCGGCCTCAGTGAGTGACCCCCAAGGCCACCCCTCCCCGACCCCTCCCACATCTGGTCCTCCGAGGACAGCCGGGGCGGCTCCTGGGAGGCGACCGGTGCTCTGGGGGCCCAGGAAATGCTGACGGCGTGAGGGCCACGCCGGCCTCGGCTGGGTGTGGAGGCCACATCGTAAGAGGACACTGAGGCCGGACGTGCCTGTCCCGGCGGTGCCCACCACGCACTGGCCGTCACCCCCGCCCGCTGGCCGTACCAGCAAAGCATTTCTCACGTCCTCTTCCCGCCCCGGCCCTCCGCTCCGCTGTCCTGGTGGCACGCGGCACCCTCAGGCCCGGCCTGGTGCGGCTCCCCTGCCTCTGGCTTCCCTGCTCTGAGCTCACTTGTCCGTGGAAAACCTACACACGCGGAGCCTGACCGGCCCCCTCCCTCGCTTGGCTGGGCCCACTCGCAGCGCACAGGACGGGGCAGCCACCGGGCGTCAGCAGACAAAGGAAGACAGACGCGCGGACCTGCCCGCGCCTGCGGCCCCCGCGGGCCTGCTCAGCGCTGAGGGCGCTGCTTCTGCTCGAGTCGCTTCCAGCAGCCGCTGGCCAGCTCCGCCCTGGGCCGGCACCCTCCCTCTGGGCCCACGCACCCCCGCCCCGCGGCTGCACGGTCTGCGGTCAGCCCGCTCTTCCGTGTGGTTGGCTCCCTCGGAAAGATGGAGCGACGAGGGCTCCCGGGGGGGCGGGGGGGCTGGACGGGGCTTGTCAGGCTGCCCCCCGCGCCATCTGCAGCCCGGAGTGGGGGTGCGGGGGCGGAACCGGAGGGACTCCAGGAACCTCACGCTGGTCCAGAGTGACAGACGGGGCTGTCACGTCGCGCATCTGCCGGGTCCTCGCGGCCCTTTGCCCGGCACGTCACTTAGCGGCTCTGAGTGATGAGCTGGCGCATCTCAGCAGGACGCACTTGGCAGAGAGGGGAGCAAGCGTTTCCTCAGCCCCCTGGGCCCCGGGCCGGCCCGGCCCGCCTGTCACACTCGTGCAGAAAGACTGAATCCAGCAGCGAGGCCTCGGGGCGGGCCTGGAGGGGAGCCCAGCTGTGCCGGCTGGACAAAGAGGTGATGGGGGTGGGGGTGGGGAGCCCGGCCGACTGCAGAGATGTGCGCCCCGGGGGCACCCCCAGGCGGCCACAGACCCAGGCCCTCCCCTCCGAGGCGTCTCCTGGGGCCCCTGCTGCACGGCGCCCCCAGTCGAGCCAGGGGTCGGCAGGGCTCCGGGCACCCTGGTCCTGGCAGACGGGCGCTCCCCGACCTTCCTTGAAGGGTGTTTCCTTGGAAGCACGTCGCTGGGCCCGCCCACAGTTGAAGGGGGCGCAGGAGGAAGCAGGGGCGTCGGAGCCTTCCTGGAAGGTGCTGGATGAAGCCGCCCGGGAGAGGCGGACCCCGACTCTGTCTCACTAACGGGGGTGATTGGTCACAGCAGCTGGGAGCAGCCGGCGAAGCTGGAACTGGCGGCCAGGCCGGAGCCGGCAGCCGGGACGGACTGTCTCCCAGAGCAGACCGGGCCAGCGCCTGGGCAGAAAAATGAGGGAAGTGGGAAAAGCTACGAAGGGGCAACTCAGCGAAAACTGAATTAAAATGGCCCCGGGACACGTGAAAACTCGCTCAGACGCGCTCAAGCTCGGAGTCGCACATCGGAGCCCCGAGGTCCTGCCCCCCAGGAGGCTGCTCCCTGCGGCGCCAGAAGCTGCCAGGGGCCCGAGGTGGGAGCCACGCCGGACACGGCGTCCACCAGGCCACGAGCGCAGGACGAGCTCTCGGCCCCCGCGGCCTGCGCCTGCCTCGGGGCACCCCCGGCACCACGGCAGCGATGGGGGAGATGTGGCGCAGCCGGCCCGGCACCCCTGTCCCCACCCAGCACCCCCATCCCTGCCCGGCACCCCCATCCCTGCCGCACCCCCGTCCCCGCCCGGCACCCCCATCCCTGCCCGGCACCCCCGTCCCTGCCCGGCACCCCTGTCCCTGCCCACACCCCCGTCCCCACCCAGCACCCCATCCCTTCCCAGCACCCCCATCCCTGCCCACACCCCCGTCCCCCAAGCTGAAACCGTGTTTAAACGGTCCCACAAATGCTGGGTCCTTCCATTTTTCTCCTACTTCCCTATTTTTTTAAACCTCTGCCCTCACCTTGATGAGTTTCCTTCCCCCTGCGCGGCCGCGGCTCATTCCGCTTTTCTGTTTCTCGTCCTCGGGGCGGGAGCTGGGATCCGGGCCTTCTGGGGCACCCGGGGGGTGTTAGCGACCCCCCGCCCCAAGGAGCCCAGACACACGTTTCCACATGGCTCAGGGTTGTTTTTCTTCCCCGCAACACCCCGTCAGCCCGGGGGTGACCTGGAACGAGCCCCTGGCCCTCCCCCGCTGGCGCGCGCCGGTGTCCACCCTGGACAGAGCTCCGGCGACGTCGAGTCCCCCCAAACCCGCTGGGGCTCGCTTCCCGGCCAAGGCCACGCTGGCTGGGTGCCCTCGGGAAGCCGAGTTTGGGGCCGTCGGGGGCATCCCGAGCGCCCCGGCCCCACAGGCTGCTGACCGTCGAGGGGGTGGAAGCCGCCAAACGTAACGTGGGTCTGGCTGCTCCCCGTCGAGTCCGGGGCCCTCCCTGCCTGGCAGCCCCGCGGTCCCGCCCCCCGACTCCGGCTCCCAGGCCTTCCACGGTCCCGGCCCTGCTGCCGCCGGCCACCCTCCGTGCTGCAGCCTGCTCGTCTGGACTCACTCCTGCCCTCACCCGCCTCTGGGGCCGCTGGGTCTGGGGTCAGGTTTGCGGGCAGCCCACAGAGGGGCCCCCCCTGGGCCCTCCTCCCCACCCTCCCCCCGGGCCCTCCCCACTGCAGCCTTAGCTGGATCCCCGCCAGGGAGCTGACCCGCAGGGCAGACCCCTCGCCCGGTCTGGTGTTTGCAAGGCCAGGCCAAGGGGCCGGGAGGGGCGGCAGCCGGTCCTCCCCCAGGCCGGCCAGGGCGCTGAGTTTGCCGGGCAGCGCGCGGCTCCCGGGGCCGCCCACCGCCGTTCTGTCGAGAGAGTCAACGTGAGTGTTCGAGGGTGCAGGGACGTCTCCTCCTCCTGACGCGACCGGATGGCCTTTCTGCTTAGCCGTCCCTGCCCTGACGCGTCTCGATCGTCGAGCCTCGCTCCCGCCCCGGCCACGCGGCCTTGGCCAGCACACGGCGCTGTCGCGGCCGCCGCTCCCGGTAACGCCGCTTCCCCAGGGGCCACAGCGAGCTGGCCCCGCTCCGCTTTCATGGCGAAGCTCGTCCAGGGAGCGGCTCTGCTGCTTCTCAGGAGGACTTTGGGGGTTTCCCGCCATCCCCGGCCTCCGGGGCAACCCGGCCACGAGGCTGTGCCCGCGCTCCGGGGCCGGCGTGTCCTCGGAAGGCGTCCTCGTGCCCTCCCGCCTTCCCCTCGGCCGCGGGCCGGCCCGTGTGAGCTCCCTCCCCCGCGGCGAGCTTTGGCGATGTGCGATTTTCAAGAAAATCGTTTCTTTCTTCTGGGCATTTAACTGTATTCGCCTGCAATCTTGCGAAGTGATTTTGTCTTTTAAAAAATAAATCCTGGGGCCTGACGGCTGCTTCCCGCGAGCGTTGCTGCGTCTGCGCTCGGGGCCGCGCTCCCCCGCGCTGCCGGCCTCTCCGGCCGGGCGTCCGGTCTGCCCGAGCGAGACCTTGGGCGGGGTCGGGAGCCTGGCGTTGGGGGCTCCCCGGCTCCCCCCACAGCCTCCATTCATTCCCCCGGATTCTGCGTCTTCGCCCACGGCCCTCTGCACCAGCCGGGCCTCTCCTCGCTGCCGGCCCCGTCCTCTGCACGCGCCTGGAGTCTGGGCTTCGTGGTCACTGTCCTTTCATTCCGTTTTTTGCTTTCGTCCCTGCAGCCGTTTAGCGGCAGGCGGCTCTGTGGTCGCCAGGGCTGTCACGGCCCGAGGGTGCCGGCCGTTGCTTTGTGCCCGGGACTGCAGGAGACACTCCTGTAGCTCAGAGGTGCTGGTTCCGGGGGACGTTCCCGGCGCTTTTGGAGACGTGTCCCCGCGGCCTCCAGGGGTCGGCACTTTCCGGCACGTGCCGGAGCGTCTGCTGCTCGTCTCCGTCCCTGTGTGGGGCGAGCGGCTCGTGGCCCAGGGGCGGACATGACGGCCCCGGGCAGGGCCACGCGCCGAGGTGTTGGCGCCGTTTCATTTCCCCGTCCTGGCCTGGAGTCAGAGGACCCTGGACCAACCCCAGAAAACGCCGCCATTCCCTCAAGGCATCTCATGGCCAAAACCAGCCCCGGCCCAGCCTGGTCCCCACTCAGGGGCAGACGGCCGCGGGGAGCGGGCCCAGGTGGCAGGAAGGTCGCCCTGGGGCACCTACAGTGCTGCAGCCTCTGCATGGGGTGTCAGGGTCTCCAGAGGGACAGAATCAGGGTGTCTGTGTATAAACAGACCCCACGAAGTGGGGCGTTCTGGTGACTGGAGGTGGCAGGCTGAAGCCTGCAGGGCGGGCAAGGCCTGCACCCACGGGGCGCCGCAGCCTTGACCCCCACCCCCAGCAGAGCCCCTTCCCCTCCAAGGACTCTGCCGTCCTGCTGCTGCCTCCAGGCTGACGCTGCCCTCCGCGTCAGTCACGGCCGAGCAGAGCCTCGGGGATGCCGCGCTGGCCGGCCGGGCAGCCAGCGGGGAGGCGTGACCACAGCCCAGACATCGGCACCCCACAGCGGGGCACAGGTGAAGGGGGACACCCGCCCACCAGGGTCTCCCCCATGCAGCCGGTCACCTCCAGTGTCAAGGCCGCCTTTGCAGACGCTGCCCTCCCCGGCGCTGTGCCTGCGGCCGGCGGGCTGGCCACTGCCCAGGCTCTGCAGGGAGCCAAGGCCCACGGGCGGGGGCGGGGGAGATGCGCGTCTCAAATGCCACCGTGATTTATAGACTGTGTTCCCGGGAAAGAGCAGAGATTTATTTCCCGGAGACAGGCTGTTTGTAAACACGCGCGCAGGTGGCTGTGTGGGTGCTGGGCGGTGCCGCCGGGCCGGGCGCCTGGCCGGAGGCAGAGCAGGGTGGGGCCGAGCTGGGGGCGCCTGGTGCCATCGGGCGCTGGTTTCCTGGCCCCCTGGAGCTGGGACTAGCCGATCGCCGCGCCTGACCCGCCCGCCGGGAGGCAGAGAGGAGGAAGCGGCGACACGAACCGTAAACGCGCTCGGAGGCTGGACCCGACTGCCGAGGTGCGGCGAGACGAGACCCCGAGGGGACCTGAGCCTGGGGCCCGGACGGCTGGGCCCGCCCGCACGAGGCCAGGATGGGGGCTGGGCACGTCGGGGCTCTCGGCACAGAACGCCGCCCGCCCAGCTCTGGCGGCAGGAGAGGGCCCCGCCTGGGCAGGGGACGCCCCTCAGCCCTCGGGAGCCCCGTCCTCACCGCAGAGACCCCACCGAAGCCCCACCTCAAAGCCAGACTCGCCACCAGCAAGGAACAACGCGGGAGAGAAGGTGGACCCCTCCTCGGGGACCCCGCACCCCGCCGCTCCAGCGGGCAGGGCACGCCGAGCGTGGCCCAGGACAAGACTCCCGCGGAAACCGGGCGCGGCCCTGGTCACGGGGCCCTCCCGGCGGCTCGGCGAGCAGCGCCCATGTCTGTGCACAGCAGGGGCCTCTCGGCCCTCCTCGCGCCAGGCCCGCGCGTGCCTGTGGGACTCCGCCTGACGCCCGCCGTCCGCACACCGGCTTTCCTCCCCCGAGTGACACGTGACTCGCCCGACACTGGACTTGCTCCTCCACTTTGAAAACGGCCCCGAGACCCCTCCCTGCTCCCCTCCCTGCTCCTGCTCGCGGGGCAGCTCCGCCCCCCAGGCCCTGCGGCCGCAGCGGGACGAGTCCTCTCGGCCTTCTGGAGGGGGCTGGGACGCCGCCCTGGGCCGGCCCTCGCTGCGCCTGCCCGGGGCCCGGGAGCCTGGGCCTGACCCTCTCCGCCACAGGCGCCAAGGAGATGCCCGGAGGGCGGCCTGGCCCTGGCACCCAGGGCTGCGGGGAGGTGGGGGGCGGCCCAAGGGCGGGTGTGGCAGGGCCGGGGGCAGCTCGCCCGGCGGGGGCTGAGAGGGCAGTGGGCAGAGGTGGGGGTGCCTGCTGGGGGCCCCTTCCTCCCCAACTCCAAACCTGGGTCCGGCCCAACCCGTCTGCCTGTTCCATTCCCTGCCCGGGCAGGGCAGCGCCAGGGCCGTCGGGGCTGAGCAATCACCGGGCCTCTCAGGCCCATTTTTCACGGTAACAAGTCATTACCGTGTGCCGGAGCCAGTCCTCGGCCTCAGCACGCGTGTTTATCAATCAATACCTAATTGATGTCTGCAAGGCGAGCGCGAGATCGGAGGTGAGCGCCGTGAGGCGAGCGGCCCCGCGGGTGGCGGCAGGACGGGCCAGCCGTGTCCACGACGCGCAGGACGGGCCGGCCGTGTCCACGGAGCAGGGCCCTCAGCCGCCCCCTGCTCCCCAGCGACCGCACCAGCATGTCCTCGTCCCCGCGAGCCTGTAAAACGGGCTCAGCCGGGCTCCGGGGCCGAGACCCCGCAGGATTGCTCGGCCGGTGCCGCCTCGGGGTGCCCGCTGTCCTTTGGAAGCGTGTGGACCTGACTGAAAGGAAGGCCAGGCTGTGCTGCCCGGCGTGGCACAGGGGCCAGGCAGGGCGGGCGCCCGGGGGTGCCCCTGCAGAGCAGCAAGCGGAGTCCAGGTTTGGGGGTTTGTGGGAACACAGGGGCGTGTCCAGGCCCGGATGGACGTGGCCATCTCTCAGGTGTCCGGGTGACCAGAGAGGCCTCGTCCTGCAGTCTCAGCCCCGCAGGAGGACCCCAGGATGGCCGGGTGCACAGGGACAGAACGCGGCCGAGCTCAGGCAGCTCCCGCGTCCTTTCTCTCTGGGACCCTCGTTCCAGGCGGAGCAGACCCCCACCCCGGGAGGAGCCGGCTTGACCCTTCCGGACCCCTGCCTGCTGCTCCGGCCACGCGGCTGCCCTGCCATCCCGGGCCAACCTGTTGGCGGACTGGGCATCCCCCGCCCCGCCAACCAGCCAGCGACAGCATAAACGGGGGGCCCGTGGATCCCGCAGCCGCGCGTGTGGCCGTGCTCCCATGACAGTGCCCCTGCCCAGCTGGGCCCCCGCGCGGCGCCTCGGTGCTTCAGCGCTGCGGCGGACGCTGTTGATGGATGTCTCCTCACCAGCCATCATTCTGGGATCTGTTTCGCCGTCAAGGAGGCCTCGCTGCGCTGGGCGGGGAGGGGCAGCGTGTGCTGAGGAAATGGCCGGGGCAGGGCGGGGAGAGGCTGCAGCCGCCGTCCTCTCCGTCTCTGTCCGCAGCGGCCGGCCCAGAAGCAGCCCAGGGCGACCGCCCAGCCGCCACGAGCGCCCATCCCCACAGGCCGCTGCCCTTTCTCCCATGCAGGCGGCCGGGCGCAAGGCTGAGCTGCAGGGCCTGAGGCTCCCTGCCTCCCCCGTGGGCTGCCCCACTCGGGATCGGGCTGTGTGGGCTGCTCCCAAGGCAGGGGCCGCATGGCCTCCCTGCGCCTCGGCACCGAGCACTCAGCCGCTCGATGCCCTCCAGGAATTCACACCAGAAACAACGCCGCCCTTCCTGGGGCCCGTGGACAGTGGCGGCAGGCCTAGCTGACCACGACCTGCCGGAGGAGGGACGGTGAGGGTGACGGGGCGCCCACGGCGTGTCCTAGAAGGCTCCGGCAGGGCGGTCGGGCCCCTCGGAGTGTAGGTGCGGGTGGGAAGCCGCAGCGGCAGGTACGGGGTGTGCACGGGCCGGGCTGGGCGGGGCCGCCTGGCCGCACAGGAGCGGGCCTCGCGGGCGGGTGGCGTGGACAGTCCTCCGCTCCAGCCAGCGGGCAGCGGCGGGAGGGCGTGGCCTGGGGCAGCTCCTGCTGCTGGTCTGCAGAGAGGCTCTTTCCAGAAACACACACACGGTTACAGACCAAAGCTCCCCCCACTGCCGCCGAGCAAAACCAGCCCCCAGCCCGAGCCGAGGTCAGAGCTGGCAGCAGGGAATGCACCGTGCCCAGCGCTGGCCTCGCGCGACCGCACTGACCCTCACGCCCGAGCACGTTTAGCTGCAGGCCCCAACGGCAGGGAGAAGGAGGAAGCTGCCCCCTCAGGCAGGCGTGCGGGCAGCCGAGGCCCCTGCTGGGCCGCTCCTGAGTTCGATGACGCCACGGCAGAGGCAATCAATCATCTTTATTGAATTAAGACAAATGGCTGGTTATTAATAGACTAAGACTTAATGAGGAATGCTCAGGGCACAGCGGGAAGGGAGGGCGCGCTCACAGCCTGCGCCCCCCGCTCCCGGCAAGGCCTGGGGGCGTCCTGACAAGGACAGAGGCTGGATGGCCCCAGGACATGCCGAGAGCACGGGGCCAAGCTCAGGCAGGCCTGGTCTGGCAGGTCGGGGTGACTGGCCTCTCCGAGGGGCCCCCTTCTCGGGGGTGCGTGGAGGTGCCAGGCAGCACAGGGCTCTGCTGGGTGGGGTTGAGGACAACGCCCCGGCCCCCGCGGCCAGCTGGGCAGCAGAAGGGGGTGGACGTGGCCTGCGGCAGAGTTGGGATGGGGTCTGGGGTGTCCCCGCAGCTCCAGCACTGCCCAACCAGGTAACCCCGCAGGCCACCTACCTGGGGCCCCAGGAGCCCCCGGGAGTGCTCAGGCCGCGGCACATGGAGCTGGTGCTGGTGGTGCTGCGGGAGCAGATGGTGTTGCTGGCGGAGGCGAGACCCAGCTGGGCGCTCCTGCGGCCTGTTAGCTCAAACCCACGCTCCGTCCATCTGCCCAGCAGGGAGCCCGGCCCCGCAGTGCAGCAGCCTGAGCCTCCGTAGGAGGGCAGGCAGCAGTCCCCAGAGGGGCATCCCCTGCCCCCATGGGGTCTTCTGCTGGGGGGTCCTGGGGGCCTCCCTGCAGTGGGGGTGCACTGGGGGAGCCGCACAGTGTGGGGGGCATGGCGGTGGGACGCGGGCTCAGTGGCCTTGGCCGGCCTCGTGGTGGCTGTGAGCCACCACAGCCAGAGCGTGGACAAGCAGACGGCCAGGAAGCGGGGCCGGCAGCCCATGGCCTCCCAAGAGTGACGGAGAGGCAGGACCGCGGGGCAGGCTGGCTTGGGGACGGGCACAGCCCCCATGGGC